TTAAGTAACAAATATAAGAGTTTAGAATTGTTTATCTTACCTATTTAATTAACTTGTTTAACTAGACCTTATTACCTATACTTATATAATTGAAATTTTACATGTGCTTATTATATTTAATATCTATGTAATAACAATAATTTTTAAAAATAAATAATAAAATACAAAAAATATAAACAAAAGTTAAGTCGTATAATCCAAACAAATCACACACATAATAATAATAATTTGTATAAATAATAAAGTCTAAACCAAACACATAACATGTGTAACAATAACATTTTATATTAGATATTTTTTTCCCTAAACTAAGTACATAAATATATATTTGCAAGCTATCCACTATTTGTTGGATTAAATACCAAATATATGTATTTGAATATTTAGGTAAGTATCAAATTTAAAAAATTGTATCAAAAAAATATTTAAATCAAAAACTAAATATAATTCATACACAATTTGCATCTAAAAATTCTCACTCCTAGTCATTAGAGGGTTAGAGCAGGCCAAATTCGCTATGGATCTGTTGACGATGATGGACACTATAGCTGCCCAAGAATCATGCAATGAGTCAAGAGACCCAATGTTTCAATTTCCAAATCTGGACTTGGCCCGGTACAACCGTATCTCGAACCTTGTTTGAGATGATCTCATAGATAGACCGGGCTCGTGTTTTCTGTCGAATTGGAAAGCTTATTCAACCATTCCTTCGAGAGCAGTGCTAGGGACACTTGCCCTTTACCACTCGCTTGGACACTTTCCCATTCAAAAGATGACACGTGGTAAGGAAGTTGGAAGGTTTAGGCATTAAGGTTGAGAGCAATACTAGGGGCACTCGCCTCCTGCACTCTCCGGCCAACGCTTTCTCTTTTATTGGGCCACGTTATTTTGGTTGCAAAGAGGTCGCGCCTGAAAGCTTTAAGGAAGCTTACGTGGCCCAATGAAAGGGGAAGTGTGTGTCGGAGAGTGTGAAAAGCGAGTGCCTGTAGCACTGCTCTTAAGATTGATAACAGAGAAAAGTCGGTTTCTGACCTTTTCCAAAAATTAAATAGCGTCTTTTGATGGGCCTTTTTTTTTTTTACGAGAATAATTAGAATCTATTTTAAGTATGAAATTTTTTAACTGCCTCTTTAGGGTA